GCTTGAGTGCATGTTTGGGATGGCAAGACTGGCTTGTTCCAAGAAGCCTCAAAATGTACCAACCAAAATGAACACAAAGGATGGATGGTTATAAAATCTGCCAAAGCTGGAGATTTCGTGTGGGTAACTTTGAGAAAACATTTCTTATACTGTTCTCCTTCACTGGCTTTTATTTGAAACTATTTCTGCAATTTTCTCTTCTTTGCTTTCATGTTCACTTGCTTCTGCCTAAATTTTGGCAGCAATTTTTTTGGCAATAGTATTGTACAGGTTCTGGTATTAAAGTGCGTGCTATAGTACATTTACCCGAGTTTTGCTGTTTTTTCCATGAATAAAAGCATTATTTATTGGGGGAAAAAAAGAACAGAAGACAAGATGTGGCACTGGCAGGGAAAGATGAAAGTTGAAACGTTAAATTACAAAGACTATGTATGATTGTGACAAGTTATTCCAAGCGAATATATATGATAAAGAAAAGATGAATTCATCTTTATCTAACAGATTAAAGTTGGCTTCTGTTATTTTCCCCCTCTCACCAAGCAAAAGCCCTTAGCTTTATTTCACTGTGTTTCATAGATTCTCTTGAAAAAAATATATCAAATCTTGTGGTTGTATCAGCTTATTGCCTAAAATTTTGTTTAATGCGGCAGCTTAGTTGGAAGGTTCCAATGGAATCTGAGTTTGTTATTTACAGATAAGATTTCCCGAAACAAATAATTGAGGTTACGATGAAGGTACGGATTAAGCAACCCTAATAGTAAAAGGGATGATTGTTATCTTTAAAAGTCATGAATTCGAGAATAACATTTACAAAGATACTAACTTCGGTTAAAGGAGCGATTATTATCTATAACGATTAAAAGAATAATTGAGAATCTTTAACAGAGACAATTTTATTACAGCTCTAACCTAATTTATAATAAAAGAAGTTGCGGAGAGGGGGATCCCAAACATTGGATACCGACATTACAGGGATTTGAACACCATCCGAAGACATTACGGTAAACATGATTTGTGTCCGTCAGAAAACAAAAACCAAGGATTTGTTTATTTGTCCCCATGTACCTTCTTCGATACAACTCCCACGCAACAACAAAGAAATTAACGATACAACGAAGCTCTCAAGATTTTAGGGTCGAAACCTTAGTTAACCGGAAATGATCAATATCAATTCATCCAACCACTTAATGATAAATAAATAATTTATTCATTCATACAATCCAGTAATAACTTTAACATATTTTTTATACTCTCTTTATCTCCTCGCAACTCTATTTTCATTATCCATTTCACCCCCAAACCGTTAATTTTTTTAAGCAAAAATCTTTGACTAATAATATCAATCCATATGACATTTCTGATCAAATGACTTGAATGAGAAGAATGGCAGATTCTCTAATTTCATTTTTATTTACTTTAGTCCTTAAATATTTTATTTTATAGTACATTGATTTTTATTTATTTTTAAAGTTTATAATTTATTTTAATATTTATTATTAGAGAAAACTTCCTTAACTTTATCCGTTGACTGGTTAATACACTAAACTTTTAATTTTATTAATTATAGAATTGAACTTTAGTTTTATATTCAATTACATCACTCTGCTAATAGTCATTAAGAAAACGATGACATGCTTAATAATTACTGACATGACATGTCACACCAAAAGACGTAATTTTGGTGCCTAAAATGATACCATTTTAGATAGGGTGTATCAATTTTGCCATTGAATTTTTAAACAATTTAATTTTTTGGCACAATATTTTTTGGTAGCCCATAGCAGCCAATCACTGATTGTCTTTTGCAGCAAAATTTGAACTTAAAGGTTAGCATTCCACTCCTCATAAGATTAGTTTTTTCACGAAAGTTTGATACCAATCTAGCTGCGAAATATGACCAATGGAAGGCGATGCTTGGTTGTAGGCGACGTCCGGAAAGTTTAGTACTAATAAAAGAAAATTGTTTGAAAGTTAGCGGTAAAATCAATACCCCTCAAAGTTTTTTTGGTTGCCCTACTGGTCCTAAGACTTTGCCTTGACTAATTTGGACCGACTCGCGTCACACACCAGATTTTGGTGGTTATATCTCCCAACAGGAATTTTTTTGCATACACAAGGACTTGAACTCAAGACATTGCTTAAGCAATACCACTTGAATCAACCCTTGTTGGTGATATACCCTTAACGTTCAGCGTCTAAAATGATATAGTTTTGGTAGGGTAGGCCACATCAAAAACCATTAGTCGTTTCATCATCTTGGTAGAGCACAAGGTTCTTAACCTTGAGGTCGCGGAATCGAGTCATATGGAGGGCATTTCATAATTTGGAGGTCTCCTACGGAAGCTGCTCTCAACCTAGTGTTGGGGGCAGCCTACTATCTTACCTCCCCCTTACCCCATTACATATGGGAACAAGGGACAACCATTTTTAGTGATATAAACAAATCAAAGCAAAATTCAATAGTATTTGAAGTTGTTCCCCTTATTATTATTAATAATAATCATGGAAAAACTAAATTTTAGTAAATCTTATATTATCATTTTAACGCAAGATTGTAGTCAAATATCATTTACAATCGATATTATGACCATAAGGAGAAGTATAACCCAAAAATAGAAATATTAGACTTGTAAGTGTAAAAGTAAGAAGAAAAATCTTTATCCTTCTGAAGATAGAATTGAAGTCCTTTTCAAGTCATAACATTGAACCTTCATTTGTATAACAATTATGGGTCAATCAGCTGTTTTTTCCACAATAATTCTAAGAAACTCCATATCACTACTGGTTTCATTTTCCTTTTCAAAACTTCGGTGGAAAGTGATACTTTGGGATTGGTTTCGAAGGATGGATCAAGGGGTGGGCGGGATAATCGTATTATGAAATTTTCAATTTTTTATATTTTGAATTTTCTTGTGTATGTTTTATTGATAATTTGTTTTCTCTCTTCTAAAATTTTATAAGATCTTCCCATGATATAAAATTAAGCGTTCGTCCTTACTGTTTTCCATATGTTGCTACTCAATTAAAAAAAAGTAAAAAACCCTGTCATATTCAAACATATATAGTCTATCTATATTTTGCCAAAAGTCTACAACAACTCCCCCATATATATTATACAATATTGGTTCCCCATACGTACAAGAATAAGAGCAGACTTTCCATGCTTAACTAATATTGATTTTGGTTTACAAGTGAAAAGTCTAATCCCAAAGTTTTGGGGAAATTATGCATGACTACATTACTAAAAAAAAACTTATTTATTTGTTCTCAATACTTAGTTTGGAATTCTATTGCCTTCTTTTTTTTCTCTTTTAGGGCACTATAGCCAAATAAGTACTTGCAAGTAAGTGAACACACAGATATTTTCAAAGAAGCGACATTTGCATCACAACAAACACTAGAAGGTTATATTATTCGCTGGAGCGGTAATATTGGCGGATAGTAAGCCTTACTAATATAGGGATGAATCAAGGGAATTGACGGTGCGGTTTATCCTCATCTAAAACTTTTAAATTTTCATATAATTTATATAATTTATTTTTATACTCTAAAATTTTATAAAGACGTAATACCAAAATAAGTGTTCAAATTATATTATTTTTTGTGCCTAAACTATTTTTTTACTCATCCAGGTGCATGATATTATAAATGTTACCCATTTAGGTGTCTGGGCCATCAAAGACGTTAATTTCTATAGTTAAGTGACACATGTCATAATCTTGTATTTTAATTTTTTTTAAATATTAAAAATATTATTATATTTATAAAAAAAACTTAATTTCTCTTAAATTATAAAATATCACCCAAATCCCTAAAATCCTCAAATCCTAACCTTAACCCGCCGATGCCGCTTTTTCCGGCCACAACAACCGCCGCCGACATAGCCCTTGCCATCCTCCTAGTCATACGCCATCAAAGTTGTTGTCGATTGGCTGTCGGAGTCGCTGGGATTGCGATTTTCAACCTATGGTTCACATAGTATAAAACGTCAATTATCATCGATCGACCATCGACCGGTCACGATTTCATAGGGGTTTTGGTTAACGGGGGGAGAGGACGTCTGGTGGAGCTTCTTCAACGGCAAAAGGCAGCGGCAGAAGTAGGTTTAGGGGTTGAAATGAAGGTTTTCAAAGTTTTGGGTTTATTTCAAAATTTGTGTTTTCTTTTTTTAGAAATATATATATATAATTTTAATTTTAAATAAAAATTTTAAATTTATTAGAATGTGACACATGTCACTTAACGGAGAAATTAACACAGTTGACGACCCAGACACCTAAATGGATAATGTTTGTAACGTTAGGCAGCTGGATGAGTCAAAAAATAGCTTAGGCACCTATTTGAAAAAAGTGGTATAGTTTAGCCACTTATTTTGGTATTAAGTCTTTTATAAATTTTGCACTCTTTAACATTGAATTTTTTGTCCATCCCTACCTACTAGCCGATCTGAGTTGCTTGTTTACTGTTTTAAAAGATTTTTAGATGTTAAAATCTCATCCCCGAGTTGCTTTACCAAAATGGCCCCAGTTTTCACTTTTTAAATAGTGAAAAGAAGTTGCAGATTTTCAAACAATGTAAGCGGGTCTTGTGGGGGAGAAAAGCCTTGGGATTTGCTTGCTTCCAAAATCCAAAACGATTCCCTGCCACGCCCTAAGATTCCAAACCATATTTAGTTCTGAAGCAAACTCAATGAAATTACTGACATTATAATTTTATAACCTCAATTACAAAGACAATACAGGCTAAATATAAGGGTACATCCAAGAACAAATGATTCATGAGCACTTACCAGTCACGTTGGTTGGTGCAAGTGAAACCAAACCAGGTGTTATCGAATTCAAAAATCCATGTAAAAATACTGAAGGCAAGAGTCTTCCAAAATCTGCCAAGTGGATGGCAATACTTTAAATAATGTAAAAGTCGAGTGGCAAATTAGTAATCAAGACCCTTTATAAACTCCATATGAGAACATGATTCATGATTCCCCTACACCAAAAAAAAAATAGAAAATAATAATGGTGGTTGGTCCTTCTTCTTCCTTAAGCTCCATGAAAATCAAAACTCTAATCCACAACCTTCTGTATGCTCAGGTTTGTCGTCTATTCCGAGCGTTTTCGAAAGCAAAGTCTACTTTCCTTCAAATTTATGAACAAAACAAGCCTATACGATACTTGATTTCCAGCTCAAGGACCACAAAGCACAAGCACAAGAAGCTCTTCTTTGGTTCATTTAGGCTACACTACAACTGGTGTTCTTCCCATGTTACACCGGTTCCGGCTCCGGTACTCGAAGGCTGCACGGCAACTCATTCGTACTACGGTTCAGTGATTCCAGCTGGTGAGCAATGTGAGGAGGATACAGTGGAGTCTGAGCTCTCAGGTTACCTTCAATGGCTAGAAGAAAAGAAGGGTAATGGGAATTGTACGGCCGAGACGGATCTCAATGAGATTGATAAGCTAGCAGAAATGTTTATAGCCGATTGTCATGAAAAGTTTAGGTTGGAGAAGCAAGAGTCTTACAGGAGATTCCAGGAAATGATGGCTAGAAGCATGTGAAGGTTTTTTCTCTTTATTATTACTTCATAATCTTTCTTTGTATGCGATTTTCTTTCCACTTCCGAGATCACGTATAATTAGTGGGAATAATCTTAACAAATTCAGTGAAAATTTCCCAGATTTTTATATCTCTTTCTTTGAGACGGCTGGAAGATGAAAGGTCGATTCTATAGTTATGGCCAAAAGAAATATACTATTATGATGGAGAGATAAGTGTAATGCATATCCACTTTCTTTAATATATTAGGTTAATTTGGGATCAGTAACTTCAACGCTTGTTAAAGTTATTGTGTTGTTGCACTTCCACCAATGTAATTAAGCCAGCTTTTTCAAGCCAACAAACACACACACACACACACAATATAGATTGGCCAACCTGTGTAAGAACCGTGAACATCCCAAGCAGGTCATTTCGGTGGTCCAATTATTGCTTCACCTGGAAGGGTACAATATTCATGATTTCCTGGTCACCAAACTAGGTTTGGTCCGACAATATCGCACGCCGTCTCGTAATTTGTGCTAATCATTTTGTTTATCTAGAACTGTTCCAGCGAGCCACATGTAAATCCTCATATTACATTTGTTGACGAGGAAATTGAAGTTGCGATGGAGAAAGCCCATTTTCCTAAAGAATGACACATTATTCAATCTTTCCAGTGACCGTATGCCGTATAATGTTCCATGTTCTAATTCCTTTATCCCTAATTTTTACGAGGTCAAAGCAAATCGGAGGATCCTCTTGATCTTTTCAAAACAATAATATGAAGCACCCCCCAAAGAAAGGCAAAGTAAAGGAGAACATTTTTGTTTTGAACCTACCCCAATTCATAAAAATGGAATGATGATGTTGATGAATCTCATATATGATCAAAGGAACATGTACATGGTCATGGCATGAAGCTGGTGACATAAGGTATCATTGACATAGTCAAAACATACATCCTTATTAATTTTCAATATATAAATCAACACTTTTGGATAGTCGATACTCTATGAGATGATTCTCTTCTTAATACTAAAGTTGAGATAGAAGCAAGAGGAATCATTTTTTTTCAATCTTTTGGTAGTGCATTTCTTTATATCATTTTAAATTTCCAAAAAGTTTTAGATAAGACATTAATATAATCGTTGCATTAGATCCCGTCATCAACCTTTGATCGTTACCATCGCCTTCAACTGTTGAACCCCTTTTAATTCATTATTTTCTGTCTCCTAAATGCGAATTCAATGTTCATTTCATAAGAGAGATGACTCCAACTCTACAAATTTGATATCCACTCCCCTTTTAGACCAACTGAAACTATGGCCCAAGCATCAAAATGACAAACTTAAATGCCTCAAACAAAAGCTTTCATCTTAATTTTCCATACGACCAGTCGTAATTAATGAAAGTGTTTATTTAATCTGACAAAAAATTGAATAAAAAAATAAATGAAAGTGACCATTTTAATAATTTGTCACCGATTATATACTAGACTTCTATATAATGTGCAAGAAATCAAAATTATTACCTTGATATAATGAAAATAGGTTCCTATATAATGTGCAAGAAATCAAAAATTATTAGCTTTGTAATGAAAAATAAACTTCAAAGATTATGCTACTTCTTAAAGACTTACTTCTCACTAATCTTTCGTAGTAATCCTTGTTCTGCAGGAACTAGTTTTCTTGTAATATTTCTTATTATTGTTGAAACATGTCCTTATATAAGACGTATACACATAAACCTCATTGAACAATACAATATACCATAATCTGTATATAAGAACTTCATAATACCACACCCGTACATGAGTTTCATAAAGCATTACTTAATACACTTTGATCCCATCCAATCAATCCGATCCGTTGATCTTGTGATCCAATCCGAAAATTCGAATGTCCATTTCATTTTTTTGTTTTAGATAATTCAGATTGGATATCCAAAAAGATTCAGATAATCGGAACGGGTATAGGTAAGATAAATTCTAATTTTGGCTTTTAGCCCAATAAATGAATAATCCACTAACTCATTAAAAATCTAATTCAATAAAAATTATGATATTTAATTATTTATTGTTTTTGAGTAATTAAATATATGTATATAATATAGTAGAGGCGTCGAACAAGTTATATTAAATCACAAAATATAAAATAAAAAAATTATTTTTATGTCAAATTAAATTTTATATTTAGATATTTGATCTGAAAAATCAGATATATGAAAATTCAAATATTCAATTTTTCCAATCAGATATGAATTATTATTTTATATATCCGAAATTTTCGGATATCCAAATTTTCATATCGGATCTAATATCTGAATTTACACTCCTAATCCCAACATACAAAGTTCATATATTACAGCCAAGTGGTAAGCAAAAAATTTTCTATTAGGGTTGATTTAAGTGGTAAACAACTTAATATCGCTTAAGCAAAGTCTTAGGTTCAAGTCATTGTGTATGCAAAAAATTCCACTGAGAGACACCCACCAAATTTAAGTGTGCGACTAGGGTCAGTCTAAATTAATTAAGACGAAGCCTTTAAACTAGAGGGCAATCAAAAAAATATATTTTTTAAGTTTTCAGATATCCTTCGTGGAATTAAAAAAAAATCTTCTCTACAAGCGATCCATATAAGAAAACATAAAAATAAAGCTTATTTTGCAATATATAAACAAATCAATTTGAAGGAATTCAAGCAGTTGTAGTTTTATATCAAATCGAATAAAATCCACGTGGTTAGATGAAGGGAGTGACAAAATTCACCAAGACTGCAAGCGTAGGTTAAAAGATGTGCACATTGAGATTAGCCAAAGTCTAATATGTAATTGATTGCACAAGACCACTAGCAGCCGATCATCCATAAATATTTTTGCTGTCGTTCCAAATAACAAGGCTGATCATACTCAGCTGCCTGTTTTCTCCCACGGATATGACCCTGGGAACCGGCAGAAGGGCTTGAAAATGCATGAAAATCATAAACCGTCTCTCTACAACTCGTCTAATCCTCGACAACTTAATCACCCTGTAAGCAGTACAGCTGACGAATGTTTCCGGAAGCTGCCATGTTATTACAAAAACGGAAACCCAGTAAACACCTTCAAGAACCAACGGCTATGATGGTTACAGTTGGTAAACCACAAAAGATGTAAATGGTAGATTACCGTATAACCAGTCCTTGAAGTATACGTGAAGGGCCGATGATAGCTCTCTTTTACGATTTTCTTCTAGTGGAGCTTCTCTCAATATTTGCTTTATCTCATGCAAATTCTTTTGCTGTCAATAACATCACAAAGAAATCAAAAATTCAGTTGAGTCGATATTAGATAGATCAATAAAAGTTAAGTAGCCACCAGTCCAATATCAAAACCGCTTTAGGCCGAGTGCCTTTACATTTCTTTGTTGAGATGTCAAGTATGCATCAGGTAAGGGGAAAGGATTATCCTTTGTCAACCCTGTGGATTCGCCTTCAAACCAGTTCGGGATCTGCGGATTAAAAACTGCTAATGTCAAGCACAAGAAGATCAAACTATGGACAGATAATAACATATTAGCATACAAGCTAAGCTATTAAATACACAAGCATACCAGAAAATTTGTGAACTGATCAGAATCCAAGAGTGCAGCTGACTCGGCTTGAGCATCAGAAACACCTGCAGGATGAGATAACGAATCATGCGGATCAACAGCTCCAAGTGCCAAAGGTTCATCCCATTTATTGATGGTGGCTTTAATGCCAACTTCAGTCATGTGCTCCTCCAACTGAGAGTAGAACGTGTTATATGGTGCCACCTGGTGAAATTTAAATTAAAGAATTTAAAAAAAGTCATTCTTCCTGAACGTTGAACTTCATAATGGTGATAACACCCAAAAACCTTGTCAAAACAATTGTAATGTGATTCTAAAAGGTGAAAGCTGTGTTAAAAAAAGAATAATGAATGGTCTGTAAGGGCCCATTTCCTGATATTTTTATGCAATATGCTAAATCAAATATTTATAGCAGCAATTGCATTAATATCGCCAGAACAAAATCCCCCAGACCCATCCATTGCAAGCTGACAGATGGTCGGAATAGACTGTAAATGTGAACCAACATGATGGAAAAGAACACGAAAATTTCAGGATCAGCCTAAACAAACTTTTAACAAAAATTAAACTATAGTGCCAAGTTGTCAAAATCTGCTAATGGTTAAGCATTTTATATGCAAAGAAATTTATTATAACCGTACAAGTGGATTTGGATTTGGTTGCGTAAAGCAGAGATGTGATGGACAGTGGAGAATAAGTAGGAGAAGGAAGAAAAGGGGTGGATAGCACTTCAATACAAGGGACCTGTCATGACCACGGCCAAAACAGTATCAACCCCAGGGTGGGGCAGTGAGTTTGGCTGACCTGATGAAGTTGAAAGGACAAAGAACATGAGAAGTGGCTAACAAAAAGACACACCACTCTGGAGGAAAATAAGAAAATACAAGTTAATTTTGATGAATTCAATTTTCTTCCCCGTGCATTAACAATTTTTCAAAATTAAAACTAGTAGAGCATTTACTTAGAAATGGATTCTTTATGGCTTCTCATCTCAGAAACTCAAATGTGATCAAATTAAATTCTCATTGCACCTGCAAAAGAGGATGCTTCTGACTCACTCACCTGTAGCTTGTGGTTATCGCCAACAATAAGGGGACGCTGGTTCACTCCCAAAAAGAATAAACACTCACGACAATTTACAATGCAGACTCGTTTTGTAGCTATAATCACATGAACTCGTTCACAATGTTCAACTCTTACTGCCTGCAATGAAGAAAAATCATATTACGTTCATCCATCAATTGAGAGCACGTTATTACTTGAACTCAAAATGAATTGATAGTTAACAGGGTGTAATCATCATGATTAATGATTTACAATAAACTGTTATAAAATATGTAAAAGGAATTGATGGGGAGAGCATATAAACTGCTCCCATAAGAGAAGAATTATTGCAAGCAAGTAAAGAATATTAGAGGCAAAACCATAACTTCAAATAGTATCGAGATTTATGAGCATATCATGTAAGCATAAAAACATCTGCAATTGATATAAAAATCTTAGCAATAGTAACTGATTGTGGGCGTGTGGACATATTTCAGTTCATACAAATTCTTTTTGTGATTTTGGCATAGCCAGGAAATGGAGCAGAGACGAAGAAAGGATTTTCTCTGAAACATTTGTTGAGTATTGTATACAAAATAAAAACACAATAACAAACATCAGATGATAGAATTTCAGACAGACAAAACCCTTTACTTTCACTCAATGACATTCTAATCATAAAGAATTCATAGATCACGGACAGACTGATAGAAGCAAGGCAGATTAAATGGAAGACACACAAGTTAGTCCTGTCCCAAAAGTCAAAACATATGGAAACAACTGAGTAACTTCTTTAGCAGGGATGGACATTTTCTAGTCAGTAGAATCGCATCCAATACGTACACTAACAAAGAGAGATCAAAGAAAAATCTAGTTCCAGCGTACCAGTTCAAAATACCATTGAGAAGTTTTCAGCAATTCAAAAAGACAATGCTGAACTAAAAAGAGGAAAACAAATTTGCACCCGAATTCCACATTCGAGTATATAAGAATACTTCCAATAGATCCAAAATTAGTGCAACATAAATAGAAGAAAGAGGAAAGGCAATGATACCTTGCCAACAGCTCCAAGAACTATAGTAGCATCAGAGCAACCATAAATGGTAGCATATCTCAAAGGCGCTAGAATGTAAATAACTGAATCATAGCAATTAATTACCTGAAATTATAAAATAATGTAAAGTTAGAGGTGTTTTACATCACAGAGTTATAAAACCAAACAATAATAAAGAATTAGATCAAAGTTGTTTTTTTTTTATAAGAATTTCAGGCCTCATTAAAAACCCCTTTTTTGATTAATGGATCTTTTAAGAAAGCTCCTTAATCAGCGGAAGGAGAAAAAGAGTACCTTAGGAATATATTAATCATAAGTAAAGTACATAGGATACAACCAGAAAACACACTTAAACATAACCACATAAGATCGTAAACACAAAAACAACCAAACTACCCTTAAACATCAAAACTAACTCAACCCCTAAACATCGAAAAACCACCAATAACCTACAAAGAAACCTCTAACACAAACAAAATAATTCATCCAATCTCCTGTTTAGCCAGAGAATCCGCCTCATAATTGCACCTCCTCGAGATGTGTCTTACAATGATCTGCCTGTCCAAAACAATAGAGACAATTTTTTCCACCATCGAACTAAAAAAAGGAGATGAAGTTGGCTGCAGAATCCAATCCACTGCTGCTTTACAATCACTCTCTACTATTAATCTTCCCTTCATTGCCCACTCTGACGAGAGAAAGAAATCAATGCTTTCTCCATGGCTTTCAGCTCAGCCAATGGAGGGGGACCTATACCAACAACACTCGAAAAAGACCCTAGGACTTTGTTGTTCGAGTCTCTTAAAAAGCCCCCAATTCCCCCAACAACCCATCCCCACTGACTGCCCCATCAACGTTAACCTTGAAAAAATGAACTGGTGGAGGACGCCAACCCTGAAACTTTAATTTATTGGGTGCCTTAATCTGAAGCTTATCTGCAATAGTAGGGTCCCCCACAAGGGAGTCAACCTGAATAATGACATTCAAATGCTTAGCCAGAAACCATTTAGCCAATCTAAATATGCAAATGAAGGATAGAGCAGAAACATCCAACTTCCAATTCTCAAAAACCACCAAGTTTCCAGCCTTCCAAACTGACCATAGAACAACTCCCGGTATAAAACTCCATATTTGAGAATTTGGCCTCAGGTCAGACCAAGAACACAGCAAGGAAAGAGGATCTTTCGGCAAGACAGACGAGATATCCCATAACCTTAAAAAACTGCTCCATAGGTTCCCTGCAACCGAGCAGGAGATGAAAAGATGCTGAACTGTTTCATCTTGCTTTGAACACAGGGTGCATAAAACCTCTTCCAAAGAAACTCCTCTTTTAATCAACTCCGTTCTAACCGCTAGTCTTTGATGTGAAACCTGCCACAGAAAAGTTTCAACTCTTGGAGGAGCCATTCCTGACCAAACGAACCTTTTCCAATTAAACTGACCCCCTGAGTAGGATGAAAGAGTCAACCTACATGCTTTAACCTAGAATAAACCATCTCCCTTCCCCGACCAAAACAGAAAAGCATCCACCGTATCAGACAGAACCACATTCTCCAGCAGAGACATAAGTTGAATCCAATAATCCATTTCCCAATCACATAAATACCTTCTCGTTTGAAAATTCCAGACCCATCTGTTATTCACCAGACAGCCAAACTCTGAAACTTTTCCCCACTTGTTATTCGAGAGAACATAAATCCTTGGAAATTGGTTCTTTAAAGAATCCTTGTTTATCCACACATCATGCCAAAATTCAATAAACTTGCCATTTCCCACTTGAATCTTAGTGTGGGATCTCAATCCTTGTCCAATTGTGTCATCTTCAAAATAATTCTTTGTAATACCCTTCCAAATCCATGAGTCCGAAGGAGAGCATACCTTACTAATAGCTAGGGACAGATTATTCACATTAAATTTGTTACACATCAAATTTTTCCAGAGGGATTCTTTTTCATTCGCGAACTTCCAGACCCATTTACCTAGCAACACTTTGTTAGCAAATTTGAGATCCAAGATTCCCAAACCTCCCTCCTCGAGGGGTTTACATACCCTCTCCCAATTCACCCAGTGAATTCGACTTGTAAAATAACCTTCCCCCCACAGAAAGTTAGCCATTAATGAATTTAACTTCCTATACACCTTACACGGAATTCTGAAAATAGAGAGGAAGAAAATCGGCATTGAGGACAGAACTGATTTTATCAACACTAATCTGCCCGCCATTGACAGTGTTGCTGCTTTCCAACCTGACAATTTTTTGGAAAAACCTTGGATGATCGGCTCCCATAGAACCTCTGAATTTCTCTTTGCACCTAAGGGTAAGCCTAGATACACTGTGGGAAAAACACCCACACCACAACCAGCCTTCATTGCCCATTCATTTAATAATTCGTTCTCCACATTGATGTCATACAAATTGCTCTTGGACAAATTTAAATGAAGCCCTGTCATTATGCTAAATATCCTTAACACTCTCTTAATATTCAGAATATAAGTAGGGGAATCACAGCAAAACAAAATCAAGTCATCAGCAAACTGTAGATGGGTTAGATTAAAGGAATCCAATCTTCCAATAGCGAAACCTTGAAATAGTCCCAAGTCAGCCGCTTTGCTTAACATAAGATTAAGAAGTTCCCCCACTAAGTTGAACAATAGAGGGGACAAACTACACCCTTGTCTCAACCCTTTACCCATCGAAAACTCTTCAGTTGGGGAGCCATTCACTAACACCGAGATAGACGCCGTGGAAAGGCAACATTCTATCCAAGAGACCCATTTCTCTCCAAATCCCATAATCCTCATTAATCTGAAGATAATTGGTCATTCAACCGAGTCATAAGCTCTCTGAAAATCAGCTTTGAACACCACCCCTTTCAGCCCTAGCTTCCTCTAATAGTATATGCCTTCGTTTGCAAGAAAAGCACAATCTAAAAGTTGTCTACCCGGAATAAAAGCAAACTGTGAAGGGTTCACAATATCTTTAATCACTGACACTAATCTCTTCGATAGAACTTTGGAGACGATTTTATAAAGACTGCCCACAAGACTTATTGGTCAGTAATCTTCAATACCTTCCGGGTTGATTTTCTTCGGAATCAAAGAAATAAAAGCGTGATTTACCCCATGATCCCACTTCCTCCCACAGTAGAAATCATCCATAAACTTCATTATTTGCACCTTACGAGACGGCCAGAATTTCTTAAAAAAACCCATCGTAAAGCCATCGGGCCCTGGAGCTTTGGAACTGTCCGAGGAGAAAATAGCATCCCTAACTTCCTCTTCTGAGAATTTAATCTCCAGGAAGTTCCTTTGATCAACTCTCAACTCTGCAAACTTCAAATTCAGTTCCTCTACCTCCAAAATATCTTTGGAGTTATAAATCTTCTTAAAGAATTGAGAGACATAAGCTTTAATCTGATCCGGATCTTTCAGCTCCTAACCATCCACTCTCAAAGCCGAAATGGTGTTAATTCTGTTTCTGTTAACAGCACAAAGGTGGAAGAACCTAGTATTTCTATCACCATCTTTGATCCATTTCACCCTCGACTTTTGGATCCAAATACTTTCTTCAATCCTGTGCATTTTCCAAAGCTTCTTTCTTGAGGTTAGGAGCTGTTCACAGTCCTAAGTAGAAAGCCCGCTGCCTTGCGCCTTAACTTCCAATCCATTAATTTTACTCTCCAACACTGTGATAGCTTCTGAAATCCCCTCTTTACTTCTGATTGGCCACTCCTTGATTCGTTTTTTTGCACCTTGTAGCAGATTAAAAAGCCCTCTTCCCCCTCTACTTATGACCCGATCTGTCAAAGCATTATGGACCATGTCTTTAAAACCTTCTTCCTCCAGCATATAATTAAAAAGGAGAAAAGGTTTAGGTCCCCAATTTTTCCCATCTACAACTATAACCACCGGATTATGATCAGATAATGATTTTGGAAGCAGTTTCTGGACGACCTTAGGAAAGCAAACTAAGAAACTGCTACTCAATAAGAAACGATCCAATCTAACCCAAGTAGAAATCTCTCTATTGTTACCCCACGTGAAAGTGCCTCCTACCAAAGGAAGGTCTAATAAATTAGATTGTTGCAAAAAATTCCTTAGCAAACCCATTGAATGTCAATTTTGTGAGGCACCAATCTTCTCCTTTTGGTCGAGATAAGCATTAAAATCTCCCCCGATGCAAACTGGCAGATTAACCGAATGAACATAGCTCAACAGCTGACTAAAAAACTCCTCATTTTCTTCCTCTACAGAAGGACCATACAAGTTAATAATAACACACCCCACGTTAGATACTTTGAACTTCCCTGATAACGCCTGAAATCTACTCTGATTATAAACCCTGCTAACCTCGAATGCATTCTCATTCCACAAACACATCAGACCACCAGCTGTCCCCTCCGCTGGCTGAAAACTTTCTCCCTTAAGCTGGAATCCTCTTAATTTCCTTCTAAGCCCCTTTTGATGTTTATTCAATTTTGTCTCCTGTAAAAGCAAAATAATCGGTTTATTCTTCTTCACTAGTCTCGACACCGCTCTAATTTTTTCCTTTCTCTCTAGTCCCTTGACATTCCACGAAATAATATTGCAATCCGACATATTCATTGTACACCAAAAACCTACTATAAGCAGAAGCTGGTCGACTAACCGGCTTCGCTTACCACCCCTGAACCATTCTCCAACTTTTTAATCTTATCAATAAAAACTTCCCTCCCTTCCTTGAAAGAAATGCCTAAAACCTGACAGACCTCCCATGTAGCTAATGCTTCCTCTAGTACTTTAGTGAAAGAGCGGGAGTAAACAGTTGTAACTTCTGCGTTTTCCAAAGCTTCTATGATTAAACCTCTTCTCTTCAATCTATACTTTATGTATTTCCCTGAAGCAGTAAAAGGGTATGCCACCACTCTATCTGGGAGGTTGCTACTAATAAGTGGAGCCAAAATCTTACTCTGATCCTGATCAGAACCTGTGATTTCCTTATCCTGACCTCTCTCCCCTTGACTTGATGAAAATTGCTTACAATTATGAAAGACGAACCTGTTCTGATTATGCTTATGGCTCCTCTCTGAACATAACCATACTTGTCTTGTTTTTAACCTTCTGTAAACTCTGGTAAAACGTCTACTACCCCTCGATCCTTCAGATATACTTCTTAATGACAAGCCTTTTGATACATGATAACCCAATTTCCATCTCCTATAACACTTCTCTTTCATTTGGGTGTTTTCCTGCTTATGCTTAATTACTTGGTTACCCATATCAACAACCTCAATATCCTGAATACCTTTATTCGCCTCCTCTACCATGTTACTACTTTTTTCCTTGACCGCTTCATAAGGTGATTTTATTTGGTCATGACTTTTAGTCTCAACCCCGTTTAAATTCTCATCAGGCTCAGCAGACACTTCACACCACTGGGCCGATGAAACAGACCTAGATTGCCAATCAGATTCTGCTTGTGTAGCATTAACCTTGTCTGCAGACTTATTACCAATCCTATTTGATCTTGGATTTTCCTGTTCAGGCCCAAACATCTTCTCCATTCCTAAATTTAAATTCAGCCCAATATCTTTGACAACTTTATCTTGCCCAGAGGTGACCCCTTCCAAGCTGAACACCCTTTTTCTCATATCAGAAGAAAACCCTGCCACTTTCTGTTGACTTCTAACCTCACCTAGGACTGTCCCCTCAACACATGGATCTGCCCACAGAAAATTTTTGTTTTCCACGTTAATATTCAAATTTCCATCGATCAGTGTGTCAACCCCATGAGAAACTCCCTGACCCCATGCTTCTATTTCATTCACAGAGTCTGACAACGTCTGCATATTCAACTGCCCTTGCAGACCTCCTCGAAAATCCCCTTTGCTCCCCTCCGATGAAGTCTCGTTCTCATAATCAAATGTCCCTTCCACAGTGTCGTCTTCTTCAGCCCCATCTTCAAGCTCAGGAAAAAAATCTTCACAACCTTCCACCTTAATCTTAATAACAAATGATCTTCCATATGTATTGATTGTGACTTGGGATGGAATATCGAACGGGCTCTCCACTCTTAACAACATATGAGCCACCCTGCAATCCACTCTAAGAGCTGTTTGATCCTTAATCCTCACTAATTTGCCCCATCTCGCTGCCAGACTAGAAAAGAAAGCAACTGACTAGCAATTTAAAGGAACACCCATCATGGATACTGCACAGTAAGGTAAAGGAACACATTTCTCCTCCATGACAGGCTCCAGCCTTTCAAACCAGAAAGACAATGCCTCCCATTTGTCCTCCACCGCTGCAACTTTCTCCTCCACGGACTTAAATACAATCAAACATGCATTTTTTACAAAGCCCCACCTTACCACCTTGACATTAAAACCCTCAGTCCTTAATACTCTTTGCACAAACTCAACTTCGAAAATCTGCTTGCATATACCAGTTAGGGATGATCTTAACCAAGACCTTTCTTCCATTGGAATATGAACTTCCAAAAGATTCTTAACCACCCCCTTATCTCCACGACTACTCATTTGCTGCCCCTCAATATTATTCCTTCCCACTACCGAATCCTTATAAGATCTTCCATCATGAAACTTATTCAGCAACTCCCTCCTCCTCGCGTCAACTTGGACAATTGATCTCTTCCCACTCGGCTCCACTACGCTATCGACTCCAGACCCCGCTCTAATAAAACGCTCTCGGCCCCGCGGAAAACTTCTCTTCTGATATTTCGCAATCGACACCGATATTCTCCTTCCATCTACCACAACGTTATTCATCCTATCCTTCGCATTAAACAGATCCTCCTTACTAGCAAAATGCACAAAAGCGAACGTATAATCCTTGTACTTTGGTCTCCTATTAACGAACGGAATGAACACCTTAATCACCTTGCCGAAATAACTAAAACGCTCCCATAAAACGTTTCTATGCACTCTCCTACTAAGATTATCTATGAAAGCTACCCATGCTCCTTCTCCAGGCAATGCTCAACCTCTGCCTGAAGACCCAAAACCAAGCTCCACGTTCACTCTCTCACTAGCTTTCTCACTCATCTCATCTCTTACCCGCTGTAAGGTCAGACTAAGATCCTTTGCAATTTTTTCACAGTCTCTATATGAAAGTTTTTCATTTAAGTCATCCTTCACAATTCGCTTTAGGAGCTCAGCACGCTGAACAACAGTCATAACTCGATCTGAGACCCACGATCGATTAAGGAAAACCTTGTCGAACGCTTATAGCCTACACGAGAATTAACTACAATTATAAATAGGAAAATAATTAGATCAAAGTTGTTGGCATGACCCAATTAGCACACTCCTTCAAAATTGAAGGTCCCAAGCCACATTTCACTACTACTAATAATCAAAATTATTTTTAATTTAATAAAAGCAAACTATTCAAAGTTGTTGACATGAACCAATTATTTTTTTAATTCAAATAAATTAAAGACAAATCGGAACTGTGTTGCTTATATATTTCAATCAATAACAAGATGATGATTGCAAGGACATTGAGGATGTCGACTTTGAAGAGGGTCATAATAAACATTATTGCCAAGAAAAAGGCCAATACCTAAATTGATAAAAAGCTTTTACTGTCAAGCAAGTGAAGGTTCTAATCCAACTTAGTGGGTCATAAGAAATCACAAAGCTTTTTACCAAAGACGGCCAATGCTCAACAGACTTCATCTGGTAGCATTCAAGAACAATTGCATTAAATATCCGATAAAAGTTTTGGATACATGCAGAAACCCCAACCATTCTAAGAAGAATTTATAGTAAAAGTTTGAAAATTTTGCAAATATGAAAAAACCCTGAACTCCTTTAAACTAAAATAGTACTAATTGAACCTAATGTGAAAACATGCTCTACTCTCCTCTTTCTAGTTTCAAGTAACTAAGCCATATCATGAGAGATAGTTGCCACTCAAGCCTTGTACCATAACCACCATTGTTCCGTCCATATATACATCATTTCAGTTATAAATGATTAGACAAAACAGAAACAATGTCAATAATATTTACCAACTTCAGCATCTTTATGCATCCCTCTTATTCTTCTCACTATTTGACCATAAGCAACAGATCAGTAAATAGTCCTACCTAAATTGCAATGCCATAACCTAATTTGAGTTCCTATAAAATATGCACCCCACGGAATCCATATGGCACTTAAATGACTCTAAAGTTGGGAGATCAATATAAGATTCCCGACCATGATACATCTACAGAGGTTTAGGTAACTTATTTCTTTTAAATGACTCACGAAAACAATACATGGATCCAACCCCATGAAAAATTCCAGGTGTTAGTGTTACTGAATCACAGTGCAAATAATAAACTAACCTTCACAGAAGAATGTTTAAGATCAGATGCCGGCTTTACATATGATGATTTAGAGACTCCCTCAATGAAGCAACAATTCCTCGTACTTTGTAAGGCTTTAGCTGAACTAGAACTAGAACTAGCATCAGGCATAGCAACATCCTGATCAGAGCCACCTTGAGGACCATTTTCTTTTGCGGATATTTTTTCAGTAAGATGCTGTAAAGAAGAAGCTATATTTTCTAGAAGCCAATCGTGAACTTGTGATGCTGGAACGGGAACAGCAGGCATGTCTGGGTATGAATTAGCAAAAAAGGGAGCAGCTTGGCTTAATGGAATTCCTTCAGATCCCTTATCACCAAATTGAATTAGAAATCCCAGGTGCTCAAATCCCTCCATAGTTAAAACCTGAAAGAAAACAAAAAGCCATAGGAGCTAATAACAAGCACAAACAAGTGGAAATGTAAGATATGCAACAATCTAGAAAGACCAATCATGAATAAATAGAAAGTGATTTATAAAAGCCTAGCTAATAAGAAAGAGGAAGACCATAATAAAGAGCACAGAAAATATTAGAACATAATAAGAAAATGAGAGAGAAACTATAAGGAAAATTATGTATGTAGGGAAAGGTAGAGGAAATAAGAACAAAGACTCACATAATCATGAAATTATATTCTTAACAATTTAAAAAGAAGTTTTAGCTTAAAATCAGTGATTACTGCAAAGCTGGCAAGGAGTTATTTTGTCCAACATGGGTCAAAATTGATTATAATTTCCGTCCATCATAAGCAATTTTTGGTTGCAAACGAATCCATTAGAAAAAAACACCAAAGCATAAAGGGGCAAGTTGCATTACAGGGATCCCATTATTTCATAATAAAAATCTCACCAAGTTATCTAGTAAGACAGACCAGGTTGCTTCCAAATACTAGAAAACAAACCACATGAAGACAATTTATAAGCATCAAAATTTACATTTGACCTCATTAGTATTCTGCACCGATATTTGGATCTATTAAGTGCAACCAATAAAATATTTTCTTCAGTGCTTTCACCTTTTATCCTTTGAAACTACAGTTTACACGCTGGAATTATAAAATTGCATTTCATTGAAGAACAACAAAGAACGTGAAGAATCAAAATGCAACAAGAATCACTAGTAAACAAAAATCTGCAATCCTTAATTTATATTTCAAATGTTTCAGTCTTGTTCGAATTGAGAATAACAAAACAAAACCCCAAATCAGAAAAAGAACACCCAACTACAGATAGCGTATTACAAACCAGAGAGTCTTCATCTTCCCCCTCCACAGGCTCTGACAAAAGAAAGAGAATATTTTCCAAATGCTTTTGAAGATGGGACAATTGATGGGCCTCTTCATCAGCCTGTGAAGGCATAAACCGACGTGTGTTGCTGCGGACAAGCTGTGATGATAAGAACCGCCAAGGTTAAGCCTAAGGGTTTGACTTACATAAAGTAAAATACTTCAATTAAGTTCCCCAGTAAATGTTACCACAATTATTACAATATCCATGTCCTACTATGAAGTAAAGCATGTAATTTTACTAACTCCCCAATAACAAAGTGCCAACTGCATTAATGATATTTGACAGCAAGTTTGAAGCATTAGACAGGGAACAAATAGAAACATGAACAATCAGACCCAGAAATTTAAAACAATTCTATTAATTAAACATGGCTATCCCTACTCAGGCTAAAAAAGAAACAATGCATCAGACAGGGAAGTAAAAACAAAAGGAAAAAAATACAACCAAGAAGACTACAAATCTTAAGCATATTGTTACTTTAATCTTATGACTTGTTTGATTTTCTCCTCCTAAAATGGTATTAAAGAAAAGGTAATACTTGAAAGCATTTATTCATTAAAAATGAATAGATAAACAAAATGAAACGTCAAGCTGACAAAATTGTTCTACATAAAGGTGTAAATGTAATCATTCATTCTATTTCTAAAAAATAATTGTATGTGCCATTTTGAGCTCTTAAAAATGTTGTTTTTTAGGGATATGCACATTCCCTTAGCAGATTGTCTATGCACTATATTCACTCTTCCTTTTTGTCTCAGGATACTAGGCCTGTAAAAGAACCGAATGAACACAAACATGGGTATGTTCATGTTCATGTTCGTTCGTTTAACTTTAACCGCACAAAGGAACGTAATTTCTTATCGTGTTCGTTCAATAAGGAATGTAGTTTATTCGGGTTCGTTCAAGTTTATTCGTTAAAATGATAATGGAACACAAATGAACGAACGTAAGCAAACAAAAACGAATAAACATAAAATTAATTAGGTTTATATTTGAGAAGAGCTTTTTTATTCAAAATAATTTTAGGGTTTATATTTTCTTTAATTGATTTGGGTATTTTTTATTTTAGTTTAAAATTAATTAGATTTCAAAATATTAATAGGTTTAAGGATAAAATTTATTACGTCATAATATTTTAAACGGGTCTAAAGATTGGGTTGAATATAAATGAACAAACATAAAAGAACGGATTACAGAACGTTCATGAACGTAAATGAACGAACGAGCCCTTTGTTCGTGTTTGTTAATTAAACTAACGTAAAATCTTGTTCATATTCGTTCGTTTAATAAATAAACAAACATAAATGAACTTCCCTCCTTTAATCTGGTTCCTTTACGGGCCTACAGTATACAAAAGCAAGAAGAAAAAAACTACTAAATAGTATTTTGCCAAACTGGAAAAAATTACATTTATTTAAAAATGAAAAATGGTAAAATGTAAAACATACTCCAACATAGTTATTCTATATAAATGCGTAATCATGCATTTTTGTATCGACGTAATTCTTCAAAATATTATCAAGTTTTGCATCTTAAAAGCACTGATTCTTCCAATTTTGAAAAAAGACAAAAATAACTCTTAAAACACCTTTCAATTGCCAAAACATAAGGGAACCACATTTCGTTCATTCCCAAATGCCAATCAAAAGCCAACATTTCGTGAATTTTATCAGCTTCTGGCATCAGAAGTATTCATTTTCCCAGAAGCAGCACGAATCTAACTTGTTAGTATTAAATGACATTGAAATTAAATCAATAAACGCCCAATTTTCAACAACCACAAACCCAATTCAAAATTGCACATATCAACAACACTTCACCAAAAAGACATAGCGAATTGGTCAAACTGCTTACCTGCAAAGGAGAAAGGGCCGACAAGAAACCGTCGAAAGCTGACGTTGAAGGCCAAACATCGGCAACCGCAACAGAGTCTTTATGCGAGCGAGGAACAAGCCTCTTATAAGATTGAATGTACAAAAACAGCAACAGATCACGCAAATCGGCACCGATGGAATCTACATCCTCGGGCCGGGCATTGACGAGTGGATCGGATTCGGAGTGGAGAACCGAGGCGAGGGTCTCAAGGATGAGACGCGCGTGGTTGTATGAGATCTGGAGCGCATCAGCGAGCGCCGCCGAGTCGACTCGGCGATTTGAGGAAGACGAGAGTTTTTGCTTGAGAGAAGATAGTGCTTGGACCGGGTCGGTGAATATGAGCTTCTGGATTGGTAAAAGGCCATGCTCGAAAGGCTCGCGTCGAGGGTGGAGGATAATGATGGTGCTAACGATTGGATTCGGGTCGCTCGTTGAAGTTGACGACTCTATGGGGTTGGTCATCGCTTAGAATTACAGAAATAGTTCCTTTTTTAAGCCAAAATGATAACACAAATCAATAATGTTGATGCAGAGGGGGGGAGCCTTACTGTGAGCTCGAGTCTAGCTCAACTATTTACGTGGCTATATTTTAGTGGATATACCTTTCCTAGATGTACTCAAAACATTTGTATTAATTAAGTGTAAACTATAATTATGACCACTTTACAGTTGCTTCTTTATTACATTCATCGTCATTATTTTAATTTTATTAATTAGATCATCTTAATATTTAAGTGTTATCAATTAAGTTATCAGTCATTAATATTTAATAAAATAACTAATGTGATTGTTAAAAAATTAATATAACTATAAATTTAATAAATTTAATCATACTTTTATAGTAAGAGAATGAACCGGATCAAACTTTAAAATCGGAGAAATATTTAATTTTACCTCAACAACTAATTCAATAATTAGTTTGTTTAGTATGATATCCACTAAGGGGTTGTTTGTTTGTCTCTTAATATAATAATTCAGCGTTGAATGATGAACCGTTCAGCATTCAGCGCGTTTGTTTCGCATCTTTGAATGATTCAGTGCTGAATGATTCACCACAGAAGTACATTCTGAATGATTCAGAGCTATTATCAAACAACATGTCACATTTAGAGCTAATTCATACAGAGTTAATTCATACAGAGCTTCTGAATCATTCAGTATTTGAATCATTCAGCACTTAATCATTCTGAAGTAAACAAACAGCTCCTAAGTCTCTTAAATAAAATTAAGGTTTCGAATCTTGGTGTTTTGTGAATAGAATAAATTGGGTTGGGAGAGTCACATTACCTTCTGCAGTATTCGATTTAAATTAGTCGATTAATAGACCAAATAATAATAATTAATTAAAAAAAGGTTTTATATAAAAGATTCTCTTTCATTATTTTTTTCCTTTTTTAATAATCCCTACCCAAAGAGGGGAAGAAAAATAACTTTTTTTTCCCTTAATGATATTGAAATCACGACCTAAGAATTAGGGAAAAAAAAGAAAATGGGAGTTTTTAATCGATTAGTCTAAAAATTGTTAATAAATGTAGTTTTATTTTCATGCAAAGAGAATAGGCAAGCATGTATATATTGAGTGGAAACACACGAGGAATTCTTATAGATTATGGATTTTTTTTAAATTAATCACTGTGTCTGATTTATTAACCAATTAAATCAGATCGGATTTTGTATATGTCTATTACAAGACAATATTTTCAACTTAATTTTCTTCATACACAAATATTAGGATTTGAACCCTTAACTTTACTTAAAAAATCTAATATCTCATCTTATTATATCAACTAATTGTTGATGACTACTGATTTTATTACACATAGTAAGATGATCTGATTATGAATTAATTTGGACATCCTTAGTAATTATGGATGCAGACTAATTTTCTACAACTAATCTGAGGAGGGGAGGAGAAATTAAGGAATAAATTAGTACATCCTTGAAAAATAATCCTATTGCATAAAGAATAAATTACAATGTTTCTTATTGAATTATACTATCTTTTCTATTTTTTTACCTAACATTTAATTTTTCTATTTTGTTTACTGAACTTATAGATTAAATCATTTACTCATTTTTCGTTTTTTCTCTAACAGCTGATGACTGGTATTTTTTAATTGAGAAAATAATAAAAAAATCATAAGGTGATCGAATGTCATTGTTGACTTTCATAGATGGCAACGTTCGGTCTTAAATTTCATAGGTCTCTTCATTTCGACATCGTGATTTTAAATTCGACTTACATTTTATCGGTAGTTGCTTCGAAGTCGCTTCAAAATCTACGAATTTGAGATTAAAAGTGAGAAAGTCGAAACGTTTCAATCGAGATTAACGAATTTTAAGATATTTTTCGATGAAACAACCATCATATTCAGACTCAAGTGTTGAGATGAACCGACACATGAAATTTAAAATCGAACAGTCACCGTCAACAATTGTGGACAATGGCTGTAATAAAAATGGTATGATGGCTATATAAATGGACATGGGTCGAGTCATATTTTTGACCCATCCGACCCGACCCACAAAGTTTAACTTCTTTATCCGAAATTCAACCTGATCCGTAATCAAATTTTTTTTACCTAATCCGAATCTGACCCAATTTATTTTTTAATTATTTTTATTAAAAAAATAACAGCAAAGGCTATACAAGCCGAAAAAAACGAAAAAGGAAAACAGCTAGGTACCATTAAAATAACAGCTAAAAATGCAGAAAGCAAAACTCAGAAAATGAAAAACCTACCAGCCGAACCTTGCTGCAGAAACCCAGATGTGAAACGATGAAACGTTCAGAGTTGCAAAAGAAGAAAGAGGAACTATAGAGCCGGAAAGATCCGAAGAAATCCTTTGAACCAGAGAGGACTAAGGTGGATCTAGGAAATGGGAGTCCTTCGCCGTTTGCTCTTCCACAGCCGGAGGAGCTTCTTCAATCCAATACCAATCATTGTTGTTTTGACCATCCCCAACACAAATCGAAGAAGACGGATCTTTAAAGCATAAACTGAAGAGTGAAATATGGAGGGAATTTGTGCACGAAAATGAAAAAAAAATAATGGGGTTCCAGACTTTTAATTCGTGAGCTCTACTTTGCGCAAAAAAAGAAATTTACTCATTCTCCTATTTTTTTTACTTTCAATATATAATTATAAATTACGTCGTTTTAGTATATATTTGAGTTTTTTAAAATGATATTATTTTAATGTTTGTGTTATGTAATAACGTTGTTAAATAATTAACGACAGAGTGAGTAGAATGATTTAATTTGTAAAATTTAATAAGCAAAATAAAAAAATTAAAAATTAAGTAAAATAAGAAGAAAAATTATAATTCAGTAAAAAACGATGTAATTTATCCTTTCATATATATATATATATATATCAGTTGTTTAATTTTTTACACAAATATATTTAGGAATGCAGCAATATATATGCTAAAATGCACCAGCATAAGACCTTGAAAAAGAAATCAAGCAGGAACGAACAGGTTACAGTAACAGAGGGATCAATACCAGCAGTAATCAATCCCAACAAACTCAATGAAACCCAAAATACATCATCCAAGCCCCACTTCACCTATCATCCAAGCCCCACTTCACCTCTATAACAAATGGTGCAGACTAACCAGTTTAGCTTTAATTAATTTTTAAATTAATACACATAAATGCATAATTAGCAATTGTTTTTTTATTAATGTTCGAATTGATTGTTAGACATAAATTGATACAATTTAAAAGATTTTTTTACTTTAAATATATATATTATTTTTTATCAAAATAAATAAATAAATTATTATTTTATAATAATTTTAAGTCCATGTATTAAAAAGTATAGATAAAATGTTTTTTTAATAAAGTTTTTTATATATAAAAATATTATTAATGAGTTATCTTAAAATATTTCTCATATTTTAGTTGAGTATTAATAAGTGTAAATACAATCAAATATTATATTTTCGATTTACATCATAATGTCTAAAAGTGACATGTTTTATTTTTAAAATCAATTTTTAACTGTAATAACAAACAATTAAATTTTAAGGTAAATTATACAAATGATCACTAAATTCCGAGTAAGTTTTCATTTTCTCCACTAAACTTGTACAAATTACAAATTGATCACTAACGTTATCGATTTATAAAAAGATGGTCACTCGATGTTAACATACGTTAATGTCAGTGACGGAAGACTGAGTTGGATCGTTAAAAAGCTTATTTGGACCACGTTGGAGAATTCTTATTTGATATTAGCGTTATAAAAGAGTGATTAATAAACCTATCTACCAGATTACCATCAAATAGAGCTTCAAAAAAATCCATAATCTCACTTCTTAATACTGGCCTAAACTTCTTGAAAAAATTCAGGTTAAAACCATTGAGACTGGGAGCTCTAGAACCATCAGCCGATTTAATCGCCCCCCAAACTTCCTCCTCCGTGAAGGGGGGCTCAACAGCACTATAAGAATACAAACACAATTTATTAAGATGTATATCAAACCTTTTTACTGGTAGCGTTTTCACTTCGTTGAAACTCTTACGAAAATATTACTCGAAAGTCCGTGAGATTATATTTTGATCTTTAATCACGAAACTAATGACTCGGATTACCGAAATAAAATTTGTTTGTCCTCTGATAGAAGCTGACAAATGGAAGAACTTCGAATTCCTATCCCCTCGACCAACTATTTTAGTCTCGATTTCTGGACCAGCCCTGCTATTAGGACCCATTGCTATCACACTTGCTTCAGTAGCTTGGATTTTTTTCTCAATGGCCAAAGTAGATTATGAATCCCTTTCCTTTGCTTTCTTTGCCCATACCTTCGACGCCCCTTTTAACTCTCTCAATAGAACCTCAATACCTTTATTTTGGCAGGACTACCCACTTAATTAATCATGTCTCCATACCCTATTTCGTCTGCCAATGCGCAAACTATTTAAACAGGCGTGGACCAACAGACACTAATACCTCCTTAAGTGTCACTGGTTTGTGATTGGATAAACTTCTTGGCAACGTTACTTTGTAACACTCTTAGACCGTATATATTTCATAATGTGAGCTAAATATGATAAATCAACTCAATTGACATTTACTGAACTTAAATGCTTAAAAATTTTGTTTCATTTAATAACTTCCTTTTTAACTTTAAATTTTTTCCTTAATCATATAATTTATAAAATAATGTTTTATCATTGAAACTAATCTAATTTCAGTCAATAATTAGACATTTTGGTGTTGTTTTATATACAAATATAATTGTCTAATACCGCTTGATTTTAAATCATTTTAAATATAACATTTATATTACACTCATAAATATGATTAGTACTAAAATTAGACAAAACTAAAGAAAACAATCTCTAATTACTATTACAAACCCTTTTAAAATAAAGAGAAAATAACCTCAGTGACTGAAAATGCCTTATAATATACGATTTTAACCAACTTTTTTTAGATTTGCCAAAATGACCAACAATTTCGCAACGCGAACTCCAATTTCGCAACTCAGTTTCCAATTTCGCAACACGAA